CAGCATATGTGGCCAACTTCTGCCCCAACAACCGCGATCCCCTTGCCTCTCGAGCCGGCCATGCCGCAGCACATGGCTGGCCCCGGACCAAGGGCACCGGCCTGCGACGGCGCGGGCCTTCAGAGCACCGCCGACTCCTCGATGACAGCCACGCCCCAAACCTGCCTAGCCCCCCTCATTGAACAAATGCAAGCCTGGTGCGTGCAAGATGACCGATACAAGCGCATTGCCGCGCATATCGCCCAGAGCAAGCCCGAACATCCCCTCTCCGAAGAGGAACAGGGCTCGCTACTGCAAATGGCGGCAGCCAGCCTGAACCTACCGCCGCAATCAGCCTCTGCCATAGAAGAGGGCCAGCCCTTTCGCCTCGGCCTTCTATCACACTTGGCCCACATTACCCAGGACATAGACAAGCACTTGCCCTCCGTCCTGGCCCAAGGAGTGCCCGCGGGCGTCTTCGAGCCCATTGTCAGCAGCAACCAATGGCCTGCCGTTGACGCCCAACAGGCCCAACACCCACTAGACACTTGCCTCAAAGAGTTTGACACCAATTGGAAGAACGCCGAGGCCCAGCCTGACCTCCTCCAGCGCCTAATTGAAGAAGAAATGGCCCAGGGGTGGGTCATCGAAGTTCCTGGGGGCGAACAGGAAGCTCGCGCCAAATGGCCTAAAGGCATCGCCATAGGGAAGCTCAACGTGGTACAGGCCGATGGCAAAGACCCCAGGATGGTCCTTGACAGCTCAGTGTGCAACGTGAACCCACGCTGCACACTGCCCGAAAGGGTCTGCCTACCTACAGCCGCCGATGTGCGCGCCACCTTCAAGCCTCACGATCCGCCCAATGCCTCGCAAGGAGCCGCCCTTGACTTTAAAGCTGCCCACAAGCGGGTCAAGGTCCGCCGCTCGGACCAAGGCCTACTGCTTTTCCGAAATGCAGGCCGCCTATATGCCTATGTGGTCTGCCACTTCGGCGCCCCCTACTGGTGGCAGCGGGTCGGAGCCCTGCTACTACGGCTCCTCCACCGCCTCATGGCCCCTGAGCCGCACAAAGCTTGGCTCTACGTGGACGACCTCTTGCTCTCTCTTTTGCATTGCCGCACCCCAGCAACTGGCCTTCGTCGTGGCCTACCTCTCTCTGATAGGAGCGCCCATCAGCTGGAAGAAGGCCTCCTTCGGACCCAATATCATCTGGTGCGGCTGGCAGTTCTGTTTCCGCACCGAAACCGTCTGCCTAGCCCAGCCCAAGCTGGACAAACTCCGCGCACAGCTGCTCCAATTGTTGCAGCACAAGCGGGTCCCCCGCAAAGAGCTGGAGGCATGCCTCGGCCTGCTGATGTGGGCCACAAGCATCAGCCCACACCTTCACAGCCCCGATCTACTCAGATCTGCATAGCCCGCCGGGCACGTGCTACCCCGTGCCTCCGAGGAGCTGGTCACAGTTCCTCTGGTGCCTCGACGCCTCTTGCAAAATTACTAAGGACGCCTCGTACCTTCAGCTCCCATTGCATGCCAAAGTTATCGAGGTCAGAGGAAAGCCCGTCCGGGCCAAAACGGACATTTGGCCTATTCCGGCCGCCGACAAAACGATCTGGGTCCGCATTGCAGACCCCTCAGCCTCGGAGATTACGCTGCGCAACGAAAGCAAAGCCGCCATACACTGGCTCGCCCAGTGCTTCGCCTACGAATTTGTCATGCCCCTGGCCCGCCAGCCTCTTCTGCCCTGCCTATCAGCCGCAGACGCCATGGCAGACGGTACCACCGTCGGAATTGGAGGATGGCTGGCCACATCCTCTAACACCTGGTGGTTTGCACAGCAATGGGACATCAAGGAACTCCGCACAGCCTGGCCCTTCCTCACGAAGGATGCCCAGCAGTACATCGCCTGCTTCGAAACCGTGGCACAGTGGGTTCTGCTGCAAATGGCCTACGAGGCCACTGGTTGCTCATGCCTCAGGTTCTGCGTCGCCTCGCGCAGCGACAATAGCCCTACTCAAGCCTCCATCAACAAACTCTTCACAACGGCCTTTCCGCTTAGCTTCTTTCTGGAAAAGGTGGCCTCCTGGGCCCACGCACGCGGCCTAGAATTGGAAATCGGCCATATTCCCGGAGCCAAGAACACTGACGCCGACGACCTCAGCCGAAACCGCCTAGCGAAGTTCTCTCGCTCTAGCCACGCCCGCAGATTCCACGTGCACCTTTCGCACTTGCACAAGTCGGCCCATGAGGTTAGCCTAGCCTCCGCTGATGTACCATGGAGCCAAGGCCTCCTGGACATAGCGTCCCCTGCACAAGCCTAGTCAGACCACGCGCGGTGGGGGTGCCAGGCCTTAACTTCACTGGTCTGCCCCGGGCCGCTAAAGTGGGGGTATGCCATCCATCAGGACCGGAGCCTCTCGCCTGAGAGGTTGCCCGGCCTGATCGCCAAACTCGCCCAGAGCAGCACCCGTGAAAAAGGCCATCGCATGCAGGGTAGGACGCTGTTGCCCCTAGTCCCCCTCCCGTAGGGTTTGGGATCTAGAGGGCTCGTTCTACCCGCTAGTGGGCGTTGTCTGAACGCACTGGGTTTTTGTTTCCCAGGTGTTTTGACACGCGCGAATCATGACCGCCCATGTTTGCCCACGCCCAGCTGGCTCCTGGCTCAGCTGGCCCTGACCTAACCCGCGTTGGGGCCATGCATAGCGTGTGAGCATCTTTTCGCCCGCCCTCCCTTGCCCTGCTCACTCAACGCTAAACTCCAAACACTCTCCACATAGCCGACAGCTCTCTGCCTCTCAAGTGGAGTAGCCCAGTATACTGCCTCCCAAAGCGGAGTAGCCCAGTACACTGCCGCACTAAGGCCTCCCAAAGAGGAGTAGCCCTCGCCTTTATTGCCATAAACCCTCAAAAGGGGGGTGTGCCATCCATCAGGACCGGAGCCTCTCGCCTGAGAGGTTGCCCGGCCTGATCGCCAAACTCGCCCAGAGCAGCACCCGTGAAAAAGGCCATCGCATGCAGGGTAGGACGCTGTTGCCCCTAGTCCCCCTCCCGTAGGGTTTGGGATCTAGAGGGCTCGTTCTACCCGCTCTCCCCCAACTAGGGTTAGGTCTTGCAGTGGGCGTTGTCTGAACGATGTTGAGTGCTTGAGCAGCCCTGGATTCGAGTGCGTTGCAGCTCTCAGCATAGTGCTGAGCAAGCTTGAAGCCCGGGACGATCCAGTCCCCACAGGTGGTCCTTTATGTGATGTGTGCAGCGTGTCCGAGTGTCATCATAATGACCTGTGCTGCATCGTTGAGTGTCCCCGGCAAGACCTGAAAGGTGAGTCCCAGAGCCCCAGTTCCGCAGAGGCCGAATCTCGGGTTTTCCCTGAAAAACCGACAATTCAGCCTGGGGCGGCCGAATCTCGGGTTTTCCCTGAAAAACCGACAATTCAGCCTGGGGCGGCGGAATCTCGGGTTTTGCCTGCAAAACCGACAATTCCGCCTGAGGCTCCCCAGCTGAGAGCCCAACAGGAAAGTTTGCACCTGAGTCTGTCCGAGCAAGGAGGACCTGAGACCTTCGACATGTCCCAGAGTGATGCGAAAGGTCTGTGGAGTTACAGCGCCGATGTGCACAGCTTGAGTTGGGATCCATGCATGGAGTCCTCGTGCTTTGTGTGTGCTGTGCAATCGCTTGACACCGTGCCATCGGAAGCTGAGATCTGCGTACCAACACCCGCCTCCGGCTCCACATTTTACCCCACCCGGCGAGTTTCGATCGGTTTTTGTTAGCGGGATGGGTGGAAGAGGAGCAAGTGCTCCGGCTGCTGTCACTGGCAGTATCATCCACACCGCCAACTCATACGCGGTAACAGGGTTGGAAATGGAGCAGGTCCAAGAAGGCCAGGGCAAGCAAACAAGGTTTGACATAACACTAGCAAACGAACGGTTCGGTTCGGTTCGGTTACGGTTTCTGTTTCTGCGGTTCGGTCCGGCGGTTCCGGTTTGAGCGACGGTTCCGGACGGTTCGGTTCGCGGTTCGCACGGTTCCACAATAAAGCTCACACCCTGAGCCACCCTAAATTACTTAATGCAAAGCACGCTGGGGCCGACGGTCGGGCCGTCCCCGGACCCACCCCCCGCCGCCGACCTCCGAAACACGTACTTTTTTTTGGGTCTTTTTGGGCCTGAAGGAGCAACCTGGAAAACGGCTATGTTGGCAACTGGACTGATTGGGAATGTCAGTTAGCAAGAAGGCCCTATACGCAGAGTCAAAGTGTCACGAGTGGATTATTTACTTTACATATATATGTATTTGTGTGTACAGTGGGTATAAGAGGGGCTGGGTCACGCCCAGCGAGGCCAAGGCCCGACTCACAGGGAGATATGCCCCGGGCAGTTTCTGAACACGTAAGAAAATGCCTACGGCATTTTCCCAGGCACCCACATCGGAACAAATAAGGGATGAAGGTGCGACCGTGCGACCTGTGAAATAGATAGAGGCGTGCGGTCAAGGCTTTCTTTACGTCCTTTTCCAGGTTCAAGTGACCCAAAAAAGGCACGCGTTTCGGACGGGGGCTGGGGGGTCGGGGGTGGGCTTCTCCAGCCAAAAGGGACGCAAAACAAGGGAACCTTCCGATCATGAGTGGGGCGCCTTATCCATGAGGCCACTCTCGAAATGCATACCCTTCAGGGCCTAGGAATGTTGGGGTCCTGGGCTCAAATCCCTTCAGCCCAACCCTGACTTAAGGAGTTGCCAGTTAGGAGGGGGGGGGGTAAACCATTTTGGGGGTTTGGCGGGGGTTTGAGCCCAGACCCAGGATTGCATGCTTTTCGGATTGTAAAACAGCAAAACACGTCCGGGCCCAGGATTCGGGTTATTGTGAAACCGCGAAACAACGTTGTGTGGAAACGTATCTGCCTGCAAGCTTTGCGAAATTTGAGACGCATGATTCTTGAAATGCACATGTATAAACATGCTTTTTTGAATTTGCGAAGTGTGTAGGGAGCGTCGCGTGCCTGCATGATGTAGTCGTTTGGCTCAAAATGCCGGGGTTCGTGCTGTACTTGTTCAGCACCACTCGTGTTGGCAGATCGCACAGAGACGTGCGAATACATGGGGCCATTGTGACAGATGGTTGCGAGTTGCTTTCCGAGGAAGCTTGCCGAAGTGGTGCTTGGCTAGATTCCTGGCTGCAGCACGATTTCAGTGATGCACAGTCGAGTAAGACTCCGCGGCAGACCAAAACGGAGTATGTGCAGTGGAATGTTTTGTCTGCGTGCACGTTCAATGAGCAGTTGACTCTGCTGGTGCAACACTTCAAAGGAAATCAAATTCAGCCCTTTTGCACACTGAGCCTGCTCGGCCAAACGTTGTTCCGCGAAGCCGAGTTGCGTGCTGTGGGAGACAGTGACCAGACACTGTTCACAGCCCAGCTTCGGAAGCAGGGGCGCCTGGTGCGAATGCCGAGGGCCTATTTAACCACGGTCTTTCGCAAAGAAATTGTGAGGCATGTCATCAGTCCTGCTTCCCTGAGCCGTTCTCTGCACGTGGAGCCTGTTGCCCCCCAGGCGGCCGGGCTTGGTCCTGGCGCAGGCCAGGTTCCCGCCCTTGCCGCTGTGGGGGGCCCAGGCGGTGCTGAGCCGGCTGAGTCAGCCGAGCCTGGCCCTGAGCCACCTGCGCCCGTAGAGCAAGTTGAGCAACTTCCGGGTAGGACCAGCCTGCAAGAGATCCTGCTTGCTCAGCTGGGGTACAGGCTGTCCAGCACGGAGGACATGGATGAGATCCTCCAGTTGTCTCGCAGAATTCTGTTCGCGGAGATGGATGACATACCCGAAGCAAAGGTAGCAACGCCGCACAAAGCCACCCTGCGTCGATTCCAGCTGCGACTTGACATGCTGCATAGTCTGTCGCAGCGGTTCGTCAACGAGCCAGGGTGTAGCAGTGTGCGGCGTGCCAGGTACCTGTCGGCAGATGCATCGCCGCAGGGAGGGCACGACTACCTGTGCATCCTGGAGGAGATTGCGTCGCGCCCCAGCAGCTGGGTGCCGGATGCTGAGGAAGGGCAGTTTAATCCCTTCAAGGGCTTCGATCATTGCGTGCGTGCCTTGCCCTGCCAGACACTGGCACGAGGCCAGACGAAGGTGCCCATGAAAGTGGCCTGCCTGTTGAATTCCATCCTGATGGAACACGGCGTGGACAAGTTGCAGCACTACCGGCAGGAAGTCCGGGGCTGGGTGTCTGACCAAGGCACGGAGCGGGCCATCTCCAAGTATCCCCTAAGAGATGGCCTTGCTGTGCTCGGGAAGCCGCTGCGCCTGGACATGGAAGGACATGACTTGCCCGCAGACGTTGTGGGTCGCGGGGGTGAGGCCTCGCGGCCCTTCTTTCACTCGTCCCTGGACGTTTCTGGCCTGATGCACGTAGTCTACAATGCCCTGGAAGCAGCTGTGACCGGACAGAGGCACTGGCCAAAGTTCCAGAAACAGTTGCGGGCAATTTGCAAGCTGTGCGGAGAAAAGAGCTACCAAGAGGTGGTGGCCAACCAAATGCTCCGCGCAGCAGGTGCATCGGCCCTTGACATCCAGACGTTGTGTGCCTTCAATGCCAAGCATCTGGACTGGCGCTGGGAGACCTTGGAGACAGTTTTGGCTCAGTGGTCCCCTCTGAGACCGGTGCTGCAGCAGTATTTCAAGGCGGACATGCTTGAGGCCACAGATTCCGGCTTGGCGCTTTTGGTGTCCCAAGCTCTGCAGAGCCCGTGGCACGGACTCATGCTTGAATGGTTGCGTGACCTGACAGAGGCAGTGGGCAAGGAAACACGATGGATGGAAGGCTGCTACTGCCACGAGGCCGTGGCGTAGACACCAGATGCTTGGAGCAACTGGTGCGGTCACCTGCCCTTGGAAAGGCAAGCGGTTGCCATCCTTTGCTTTGGGCCACCGTGAAGCCATGACGCGTTCTCTGGACCTCGCCGGCAGCAGTGAGTACCACAGAGCGTTGCTGAATGCAAGGCCGGAAGATGCGGCGGCAATTGCAGACATGGATGTGGTGGTTAAACGGGCACTCGCCCACGCCCTTCACGACAAGCTTGCTTATTTGGAGGCCTTGCCTTACAAGCTCGCGGGTGCTTTTGGTGAGTACTGTGGCTCTTCCTTGCAGAGAGCCAAGAAGTGTGTGCGGGAATGTCTGCAAGAGTTCGAAGAGGCTGGCCGGGCAGAACTGCACCCCACCACATTGGAGTTGTTGACGGGAAGAAGCCCAGTGGGGCAACAGCTACGTGCTTTTGCGAAGGACCCCGAGCGGTCACTCCACAAGTACCCCGATGCTTTTGTGGCCATCCAGGAATTGAGCCTGGTGCCACTGGTCGAGCGACGAATCGAGGGGGAGCACGCGCAGGTTAAGCTTGCGGCCCAGCGTGGCTTCAGATGGGCCGGGCCGGCCATGGTTTGTGCGCGGAAGCGCAGACATCAGGTGCTGGCTATGCTGGAGAATCCCTCGCTGCTGCAATGGGTCTGTCAAAACTGGAGGTCCCGGGACATTTTCCAGAGAGTTCTGGCCCACAAGTGCCTGCCGACAACGGTCAATCTCATGGGCCGGTCCGAGAGATATGCTCGCGTGTATGGGTACGCGGTGGATGACCACTTCAGAGATGTTGAGAAGATGCAGCAGGCAGCCCGCGGCCGGGCTGCCGAGCTGAAGGCTTTACACCCTCCTCCGCAAGCAGCCTCCCACGACAGCAAGCAGATTGTAGGGTTCTTGAAGGCGCATGACAGGTGGGCTCTCCGTGCATTGCCGGCTCCTAGCTGCATGTTTGGCACTGGCTGCCAGGCTGTGCCCAGCTTTCCGCGCCGCAGGCTGCGGAGGCTGTTTGAGCGCCAACGGGCTAACTGGCATCGGCGCTCGCCGAGACTGCAAAGATGGGGTGGATGGCCGCTGAGGGCGCAGAGAGTGGGTGAAGCCTCTCATCCTGGTCCACCTGCCCCTGGCACTCCGCTGGGAGGGGAACGCCCATACCCTACTGGAGCCGCTCGCAGACGTGCCCGTCCTGAAAGTCCGCATGGTCATGACCCCATGCAAGTTGACGGTGGTGTTGCCGCTCAGGGTCGGGTTTACTGTCCTGTGCGGGGTTGCCCTTGCGGCGACTCTCGAGGCCAGGCTTTCCAGGGGTGGGCGAGTGTGGCTTGCATGCGGGCCCACATTGACTGCCATCTGGCTGGCACTTTGCAAGGGGAGGTGCCGGCTGAGTGGATGCAGGCCCAGAGGCGACAACGATGTCGCGTCTGTGGGCTCAGTGTTTCCGTCCGGCACGGGATCCACCCGACTTGCCACCCCGCAGCTCGCGCTGCGGCGGGCGATCAGCCCGACCAAGCCGGGGCCCCTGGCTTGCCGACGCTGGCAGACATACAGGCAGGTGGTACTCGTACTCTCCGGCACGTCCCACCCGCAGCCAGGTTCCTTTGGGGGCGGGTGTTTACCAGGGCCTTGGCGGAGGTTGTGGAGCACAACAACCTCCGTGCGTGGAGCGAGCTTCTCATGCTGCCGCAGTGTGTGCTGGGGGCACCCGCTCGAGGTGGACGACGCCATCGCAAAGCCATTGCTGCTTACACGCTGGACAGGCTGCAGCGTTGGCTCGATGGAGAGCGCTCGGGTCTCTGGCATGACAAGCATGAGCTGCCTGGGCCTCGAGCCCGCAGCCTCACACCGGAGCAAAAGCGCGAGTTTGCTGTTGCCCTTGCCAGGGAGGGGTTCCACAAGAAGGCTTGCAACGCATTGCTCTCGTCCGGCCTGTGCCCTGACAACGCGGAAACCGCGAATGCTCTCCGGGCACTGCACCCTGCTCAGCCCGCTCCCGAGGTTAACTTCGATGGCTTACCCCTGGCCGCTGAAGTGGTGCCGGACGTGGTCGCTAAAGCCTTACGGCAACTACCTGCTGACACGGCCCCTGGCCCTTGCGGTTTGAGAGTTCAACACATTCGCGAAGCTGGGCCTCCTGGCGCTAGTCTTGGCATGCTGGAGCACCTTGCTGCTACTGTCGGCTTGCTCTCACAGGGCCGTGCCTGCCCACAAGTTGCGCCGGTGCTCGCCGGAGCCTCGCTGGTTGCTCTGCCTAAGCCGGGAGGGGGCGTTCGGCCCATAGCTGTGGGGGAGATACTGCGCCGGCTGACCAGCAAGTGCCTCATGATGATGGTGCGGGATGACGCCCGCCAGTACTTTGCTCCGGTGCAACTTGGAGTCGGGGTCCCTTCTGGAGCTGAAGCCGCCGTCCACACTGTCCGCGCCTGGCTCCAGCGCCATCATGCTACGGCTGGCCACGTTATGGTCAAGCTGGACTTTACCAACGCGTTCAATAATGTTGATCGCAGGGCCGTCTTGGAAGCCGTTGCAGCCGCATTCCCAGGCCTGGCACGCTGGACTGCTTGGTGCTACGGCCAGCCGGCACAGCTGCGTTTCGGGGCATCAACCACGTTGCAGTCCGCTGGCGGCGTGCAACAAGGTGACCCTCTGGGCCCACTGTTGTTCGCGACCGCTTTGCATCAATTGGCGCAGGAGCTGCGGACTGGGCTTGCACTGACCATCTTCTATCTTGACGATGGGATCATTGCGGGGGATATGGCGGCGGTAGGCGCTGCCGTTGCCCACCTGCAACAGCGTGGTGCGGCCCTGGCCTTCAGCTCAACCTATCCAAGTCCGAGGTCATCGCTGTTGGCGACCTTGACCCAGATACCCTGGGTCGGCACCTTCCTGCTCAGCTCTTGCAGGCCCCTGATGGCTCGTCTAAAGTGCGTTGGAACTTTGAGCTTTTGGGGGCTGCGGTCGGCACCGAGGCCTTCGTTGCTGAGCACACTGCGGGCAGAGTTCAGAAAGCCGCGCCGCTCCTTGAAGCCTTGGCCGAGGTTGAGGACGCGCAGGTTGCCCTGCGACTGCTCAAACATTGTGCTGGCCACTGTCGCTTGGTGCATGGCTCCAGGTGTACCCCGCCACCTGGTCAGCTGGAGGCCCTCCGGCTCTTCGATGACATGGTGCGCAACTGCTTTTCCAGCTTCACTGGCCTGCATTTAAACGGCTGGCAGTGGCAGCAGGCTGCTCGGGGCTTAGCGCATGCCGGACTTGGCGTTCGATCCGCTGCCGCGGACGCTTCGGCTGCTTACCTGGCCTCAGTTGGGGGCTGCCTTGACACCTGCCGTGCCATTGACCCTGAATATGCGCAGGCGGGTTTGGCTGTCGACCCAGCTGTGGTGCAGGCGGCGGCTGACCTTGGCGAGCCTGTGGCCCCGCACTTGGCGCTTGGCATGCGACAAAAGTCGCTTACTGCTGCCGCTGATGTGGCCTCCTGGCGCACACAGCTTGCTGGGGCCAGTGCGACTGCTCGGGCTCTTCTGCAATCCGAAGCCCAGCCTGGTGCGCGGGCGTTCCTTGCAGCAGTTCCCCGCGGAGCCAAGCGGATGGAAACGGCCACCTTTGTTGCGGAGATCCGTCAGCGCTTGCTGGTTCCGGACGCCCGGGAGGACACGTGGTGTCCACGATGTGATGGGGTCCTTGACAGCCTGTCTCTACACGCGGGCACATGCGTTGCTGGCGGAGAGAGGGTGCTTCGCCACAACGCTGTCCGAGACGTGCTCTGCCGTTGGGCGGACCAGGCAGGACTTCAACCTGAAAAGGAGCGACCTGGGTTGCTGCTTCCGCAGCAGCCGGGCGACTTGGGCGCGCTGGGCCGACGCCCCGCGGACGTCTACCTTCCCAGTTTGTTTGGTGCTCCGGCTGCGCTTGACATCGCCATTACGGCGCCTCAGCGGCCGGAGACACTTGCGCTTGCTGGTCAGGAGGCGTTGGCAACTGCCGCGGCCTACAGACAGGTAAAGATGGACCACCTGCAGACCGCCCAGCTCTGCTCGGCGCAAGGGGTCCGCTTTGTCCCTATGGTGCTGGAAGCCACGGGAGCTTGGGAAACTTCGGCCGCAAAGATCCTCCTCCACATCTCGCGGGCGGTAGCCACGCGTACACAGACGGAGCCAGCGGTCGCACATGCCGAGCTATTGCAGGAACTCTGCGTGGCGGTAAGGGTGCACCGGGCTCGGGCGATTTTGCGCCGCCGTGCTGAGCTGGCGGCGGAGTAGTAACCTTGATCATGAGCGAGTGCATATCACTTGAGGGCGTGGGATGGCCTACTGACTTGAGCTGCGTTTGGGAGTACCCAGCGTAGGGAGGCTGGGTCGGTGGACGGGCATCGCTGCGTCTTCCGTCCGCGAGCTCGCTTTCGCCAAGTGGCCGGCGTGACCGAGCCAAAAGCGGCCTTTTGTCATGTCTGCGCTCGTAGTTGCATTCCCCGAGTGTTGGGTTGTCTTCGCACCGCCCTCAGAAGTAGGGTAGGTGTTCTCTCGAGGAGTTTCGCAAGGGCACACACGCCTGCGCTTGCCGGCGCCAAGGGTGCTTATGAGCATGTCTGCACATTTGAAGTGTTGCAGTCCCCTGGTGCTGTTTTGTCCTCGCGCCGCCCTCAGAAGTAGGGATGGCTTTGTAGTACATGTCGGACTTCATCTAAGGGACTTTGAAGGCGCATCTGCGCCCAGGCAGCATCTGCAGCATGCCTGCAGCCATGCTGCGAGCATGTGACCCTGGCCGTGGCCCTCACCCACAGCTCTGCGCGCTTAGCACAGCAGACATCGCCCGAGCCTTCTCTGCCGACCAGGGGGAGCTCTCGGTCCGTGATTGCCGGGATCATTTGTTCTTCTCTGTCGTGGACCCGAGACCAGAGGACAAATTTCAGATGCAGGCCTCAGCCGCAGCGAGTCGGCCCAGGACACAGTTGAGCGTTGACATGCTGCCGTGGACCGAGTGGGCCTCTGACAATTCCATGTGTGCTTCCACTCGCACCGCTCGCGCTGAACCGAAGACATTGGACGCGGCTGCGTTCTGCACTCCCGATTCCTTCGTGGACGTGGCGAACCAATGTTTGGTGTGGCAGTGTCTGCCAGTGGGTCTGCATGTGGAGCTTCCTGCTCTGGAAGCTGCAGTAACAGATGCCCCGCTTCCACTTCCCTTCTTCGTGGACGACGAGGACATGTTGCAGGATCTGCTGAATGCGGAGCCCTCTTCATCCTCCAGGCAGAGGAATACAGACGAGGATGCCATTGTGCCTCGGGCTGAGGCGCAGGTGTCGGTGTCCTGCGCAAAGCCATTGAACAGAGATGAAAAGGCTCTTCTGGCAGCTTTGCTGGAGCAAGGGGCCGTGGGAGACCACGGCTGTGATGCATTGTCGCTGCACACATACAATGCCCAGGCTGCAGGGGCCCTGCGTGAAGCCGGTTACGTGAGCACGTGGGAGGGTGATTTTGGGGAACTGGTGCTTGCGGTGACTGAGACGGGGCGTGTCTCGCCACAATTGGATCTGAGTAGCCCCTTGCGTTTGCGAGACATGCCCAGCGAAGGCCACTCTGGGTTCCGAACAGGCCAGTGCAAGCTGGAATGGCTGCGACTGCTGCTGCAACACCAGTGGCAGTATGACGAGCAGTGTCCAGAGTGGCATGACAAAGACGCAGCTCTGCTGCTGCCCCAGAATGCCTTGAGCCGGCCAGAGGCATATCTAAAATGCATGCTGTGCCTCAGTGTGGTCTGGAACAAGCCAGGAGCACCTGCAAGGATTCTACATCAGGCCCCCGAGCTTTACTACAAGTACTTGCTGCACGAGCCCGACCTCAGTTTTTTGCAAGAGTGGGGCAAAGCAGACATCATGGGCTGTAGCACAAATCGCCGACAGGGCCGGCAGCCGAAGAAGCGTGCAAAGGCAGGTGTCGGGGCCCTGACAGCTGCGGCTGCCTTGGCAGATAAGGAAGACTCGGACAGTGATGATGCCGGCCCGTTGCGAGGCCGCAGAGGGCTTCGGGAGGAGGCAGCGCTGCCTCTCCCGGACCGGCTGGTGCCCCCGCCGGTGCGTAGCCAGGTGCCTGGCGTGGACGTGACAATCTACTTTGACAACTATACGCACTCCAGTGGCAATCTTCGTGCGTTCGTGGAGTGCAAGCGGCATAAGAAGTGCCGCTTGTACGTGTTCGTGAATAAGCACGAAAGTAGATCGCATGCTGTCGCGTATTTGTTGGCGTGGCACCAGCTTGGAAGTCGTTTCGCTTCCGCTGCAACTCACATCGCTGAGAAGCCAAGCGGTGTTGAGGTCCACGCGCATCACTGGGCGCAGGTGCACGGAACACCCGTGTAACAGAAGAAAGAAAGTGGTGGAAAAATGGGTGTGTGTGCTTTGGGGCTTTTTTACGGCGTTAGGGGAAAAAAGTTGGGTGTTTGTGGGGCTGGGATTTTCGGGTTTAGACCCCCAAAGAGTAGGCTTTCCCTGAAGTACCCACGGACATGTTGTTTGTGCAAGAGTGTTTTGCTGTGACGGCGCATGTTGTTTTTGTGATTGGCCGCAGCTCCGCAACATTTCGGCCCGTGCTGTGCTTGCCTCCGTGCGTCGCCCGGGACGCGGCTTGCCGCCTTCCCACGACAACCAGCATAGCGGCCGCGGAACTACCCGCTTGCCCCGGCTGGTCCTCGCCTGCCGCGCTCGCCCTTGTGCAGCGCTTGCCGCGAGAAATCGCCTTCCGAGATCCGAGATGCCCGCGCCCAAGGCCGTGCCAGCACCGGCAACCCCGCCGGGAACCCAGCTGCTGGCCGAGGATGCGACCGGGGCAGCACCAGCAACCCCGCTGCCAGAGGCGCCGCAGGTGCCAGAGACAGAGCTGCTGGCCGAGCTGCCAAACGCAGCGGCTCCGGCCGAAAAGTGAGTCTTCGGAGCAGATTGAGCCAGCGCCCACGACACCGGCACTAAGTGAGCCTCGAGAGGGTGAGACGGAGAAAAAGGAAGCCGCTGTCCCGGAGAACAAGGGCGGGGACGGAGAGCGCAGCCCAAGCAAAAGTCCCTGCACGCGGAGGGCAGCCGAGGTGCTTCTTCCCGAGGAATCATCCTCCAGTGGAGCTCGTCACAGAAGACGCGGCCCAGGCCATGGCAGCCGAGGAGAGGGCGCGAAATCTCAAGAAGACGCTGGCCGAGAAGAAAAAGGAGGCAGAGCACCGGGGCGAAGACGGCCAGGACGAGACCGACACCAAGGACGACCAGGCCCAGGGCTCCGAAGGTCACAAGCAGCGGCCTGCCCACCCTGCGGTTCCACCAAAGGGGCCGCTGCCGAAGCCAAGGGCGCAGAACAACACGAACACGGGGCAGGACCCGAAGGAGCCCCAGGACTTTGTGGAATGCAAGTTCTGCTGGAAAAAGGTGTCGCGGTGGGGCTTGGAAAACCACCAAGCTTCCAGCAACCATTGCAAATGGTACCAGGACCGTGCCGGGGCCAAGCCGGAGCCGCAGCGGCGCAGCCAGTACACGTGCGACGTCTGCGAGAAGGATTTAGGCGACGAGCGGGCGCTGCATCAGCACAAGAAGAGCGTGCACGGCATCGCCTATGATCATCGGAAGCGCAGCAGCCAGCCCAGCAACCTGCGCCTGCAATCAGTTGCTGGAAGCCGCCGCCGACGCCGCTTGGACTCCCGAAGCTCCTCCAAGCCTCGCTCGAGCAAGTCGGCTCGGGGACACCGGGGAAAGTCCGAGGCCCCAGAGAAGTCGATGTCTTCCAAGCAGCTGGCGGCATCTTTCATGGACAAGGCATTCACCTTGATCCAGGAGGCTCGGAAGAAGAGCCGCAGCCACTCGCGAGGGCGCTCCGGAGACCGCCGACGCCGCTGAAGGGCACGAGGTCTCACAAGAAAGACCAGATCTTCCCAATAATGCGAAGACGGTGTGAAGTGCCACGACCAACCAGATTGCACGCATCTTTGGCAACTTCCGCGGACAAAAGAAGGAGTGAGCGTGTATGCACTGCGCAGACTCAATGTACTTGTGTCACCCAGGCGTGTGTTTCAACAGTGACATGCTAAAAACGTGATTTCTTGGTATGGAGACAGTTTTTGCATACACCGAGCCCCGACAGTGTGCCGCCCGTGTGCCGCCCGTGTGCCGCCAGTGTGCCGCCAGTGTGCCGCCAGTGTGCCGCCAGTGTGCCGCCAGTGTGCCGCCAGTGTGCCGCCCGTGTGCCGCCCGTGTGCCGCCCGTGTGCCGCCCGTGTGCCGCCCGTGTGCCGCCCGTGTGCCGCCCGTGTGCCGCCAGACATGCCGAAATCCGCCGTGCTTTGTTGTTGTGTGTGTGTTTTCGTTTGTGTTGTGTCCTTCTGGTGTTTTTCGTGTGCGCACCACAGGGGGCAGCCGGGGCAGCCCGGGGGGGGGGGGGCGGGCGGCCACACACCCCCACAAGCAGGAGAATACATGCAGGGGGCGGGCGGCCGCGCACCAGGGTGTGCGGCCGCCCGCCCTGGCCGGAGGCGATTCTGGTAGATCGTCAAATTTTCAGTCCCGGAGTGCGGAGAGACACTCTTGAGCTAGCAAAAGGCAGAAAACAAACAAAGAGTAGCAGAAGAAGACAGGGTCACATTCACGAGGGGGCATGTGCATCACGACATGGGGCAGTGATGTTTGTCAGGCATTGCAGCAACATGTATGGCGTTATTTTTTGGGCTCAAGATTTCAGTCCGTGCTTTCCGGGGCCGCGACGAATCGCTTGCCCGAAAACGAAGGCCACGCTAGCAAGCAGCAGCGTTTGCCTAACTTTCCAGGCCGCGGCGTGCCGCTTGCCTGCCTGCAACAGCCCGGCCGCGGTGACCCTCCGCCTGCCGTGTGTTGACTTTCGCGGGATCAAGTTCGAGACCACCCAGAATGAGTAACAGCAAAGCCGAGGGCTTTGTGTCTCTGGTGCTTAGGCGCTGGGGCCACGTGCTACGATACTTGGTCGGCCGTTGCGAACTCTGGAGCCGTGTGTGGGTGTGGGCGGTTTTCGCGAGTGGGCACAGCAGAGCAGAAGCCCGTACGATGGCTCAGGGGCCTACGACACAGATCCGGCCTTGCAAGCGTTCTACACACGACTGGCTGACAAGAACGCGAAGGTGCTGGGCGTCAACATCGGGAAAGCTGATGGGGATGTCCTGCGAGTCAACCCAAAAGAACTTCCGGACTCGGAAATACTTGTGAGCGGGCCACCTTGTCAACCTTGGGCAGGAACGGGCCTGAGGCAAGGGGACATGGACGAAAGATCAGAAGTGTATGGCGCTGTGATAACGTGGATCTTGGAGATGGCCGGTCGGGGTTGTTTGGTGCTGTTCCTGGTCGAAAATTCACCCAACCTGTTGAGAACAACTTTCTTTCGGCAGCTCGTACAGGAGCTAGAAGTGGCGCTGCCACATTTTGCCTTGGACGTGAGTGTGCATGATTGCCACACACTGCTGCCAATGAGACGGGAACGCCTGTATTTGCGAGGGCTGCGACGGGACTGCCTCCCAGTGGCTGGGACAGTGCCCAGGCCTCTGGGGATGCTTGACGTGCCTCACCCGATTTGCCTCTTCGAGATGCTCTGCGAGGGAGAGCCCAATACTGATCCCAGCAGCATGACCGAGAAGCGGCGGCAGAATTTGAAGAGGTACGAGGAGATGGTCAAGAAGGACCTGCTCCGAGGACATGCTGGCTGCGTCGCCTGTCTGGAGCTGGACAGGGATCCGGACAAAGAGTTCATGGGTCGGGTGACCTACGATGCCATTCCCAGCTTGAGAACCTCAGGGCCAGCGATCTTTATGCTCACCACAGACGACATGCATCTGAACTGGCAGCAGCAGTTCCTCCACCGGTATTTGACAGACGAGGAGCGGTTTGTTTTCCAGGGCCACCGTGCCACATATCACGATTACTTCAGCACCCTCACGGCCAGCCGACAAGCCACAGGCAACGCATATTGCACACTGCAGTTGGCTGCAATGCTGCAACCCATGCTGATGCGTGCAGTGGTGAGCGGGGCGATGTCTGCAGAGCCACCACAACGGCTGAGCCGCAAGAGACAGGTGGACATAGAGCTTCAGGGCATGCATGAGCAGACCTTGCCCCCGGAACCCTCCTCGGGTCACCGACAAGACCCAAGAAGCGTTGCAGAAAGGCCGGGCCAGCCGAGCACGAGGAAACACTTGCTTTCCGTGGCCCCCTGACCCCGAACACGGACAACGTCATCGAGTTGGACTAATACAGTCTGGAACCGACGACTACTACAGTTTCATCGATTCTTAGCTTCCTGTTAGATTCGTAGAATAGGCTATGCAAGACAAGTATAATTCGTAATGAATGCGCAGAATCTGCCAATTCACACGACAGCGCACTGAGTGCTTGCACTGCTATGCTTTAGACAAAGACCACGTGACCTTCCAGAGTCTTGTGTCGTGTCCATGCGACTGCGAGGATCGAGGACTTTGCGGATTGTTCTGTGTGTGTAATATTTCGGCTCGAGGCAATAAGGCGGCGCGACACGAACTCCCGTGTAGCGCTGCGGTGCTTGTGGCCGGATTCCTCCTCCCTGCATCCCTTTGAGGTTTCCCTGTGTGGCCGCCCTTGGGCTTGCCACTTCCCTTCACACTTTGCGGGCGTGGCCACCCTTGGGCTTGCCACTTCCCTTGACACTTTGCGGGCGTGGCCGCCCTTGGGCTTGCCACTTCCTGGAAAGGCTTCCTCGCGCAGCGCTGGGCGACATCCGAGCCTGCAACTGCCTCCAAGATGAACTGCCAGAAGTGCGGAGATGAGTGCAGCATGGTCGAGTCTGTGGCGACAGGCAGAAATGCCATGAAAAGGATCTGCCTGCACTGCAACGCCACCGACAAGTCCATAAATCGCCGCTGCAAAAAACCGCTGAAGCCAGAGATGGAGACGGAGGAGAACAAGCGCCTGAGGCTCGCAGCAGAGGCGGAGAAGGGACGAGTGGCAAAACTCGATGCTGAGGAGAAGAAGCAGTGGTATCGAACGGAGAAAGCCAAGCGCCAAGCGAGCGAACGTTCCAAAAAGAGGACCTTCGGCGAAGGAGCCGTGGGCTCTGTGGAAGAGTCCCGGGTGCAGAAAGAAGGACAAGACGAGGTGGACGCGTTCGAGACCTTCGAGGTCTGGGCAGCCAGGCAGATGACTTTGGGTCGTTACAAAAGCGAGGAGGAGGCCAAAGACCAGTGGAAGCTGGAGCTGCAGAAGCCCGACGCCATCGTGAAGAGACGTCGTGGCCAGGACCTGCTGGCGTCTTTCAAAGGCCTGGAGGCCAGAAAGGGCCAAGAGCACCAGGTCGGCATCAACTTGAAGCAGCGTGCTGATCTGAGTGATGGTGCCGACGTGGAGGGCTTTGAGCAAGAGGCCGTGGCCAAGCTGCGCAAGGCCTCCTGGAAGGCGAACCTGCAGCACACGAAGAACTTGCATTCACAAGACAACGACATGGACATGGAGCCATTGCTAAACATAGCCGGGGACATCGAGAAGGCCAGGGCCGCCGAAGCAGAGCAGGAAAGGATTTGGCTGCAAGAGCTGGAAGAGAAGCTTGAGAAGGAGAAAGAAGAACGAAAGCAGCGAGCCGAGGAGAAGAAAAGCCAGGTCAAGACCTATGCCTTGGAACACGTTGTTTTCAAGAACGTGTCGGAGAGATCAGTCCGAACGATCAGCAACTGTCACGACCGTGCCAACGAACAGGTGGAGCTCATGCAGACAGAGCTCCGACAAATGATGGAAAATACCACCGACGAGGCCAAGAACGACGCGAAGCAGCAGGTGGCACTGGCTAGGACAAGCGTCGTCAAGGTTCGAGAGCTCATTGCCCAGCAAAAGGCGTGGCTGGGCAGCACATAGAAGCCAGAAAACATTGGATCTTGTAACAATCGCAGACCACAGATTGTATATTTTGTTCAGTGAAGCACACTCATGCCCTACAAGCACTCCCGCAGACATCAAATCTGAGGCTCTGGGAAGCGGACCTAGGCAAAGGAGAAGATGTGCTCGGAGCTGCGGACCTGGCCCAGAAGACCGCAGAGATGCCAGGTTGGGTGAGGGCGTGGCTCAGCGACAATGAGGACGTCAAGGAGATGAAGAACAAGGTGACTGACTTGCGGAAGTTCGTGGCCAAAATCAAGAAAGCCACGGACGCTGCCCAGAAGGAAGCCAAAAAGAATGCCAAGAAGCTTGCTAAGGGCAAAGCGGCACCGAAGTTCCAGAGCAAGTCCTGCGCTCAAGCCAGCAGTGCATCCGCGGCCCAAAGTAGTGCCCCTGACAGCAGCAAGGGTTGGATTTCCCACACCAGCCTCAAGATGGGAGATGGCATTGGTCAGGAGATGACAGAGCTTTTTGTCGCGGATAACATGACTGACGAGAATTGCTTGTGGAATGTGAAGGAAGACATTCTTTGCAAGAAGGATCTGCCGAGCGCAGCGGTGGTGATACCGGAGGCTCGAGGCACGGCAGCAAAAAACAGTATCGTGGCGTTGGACTACTACGACAGTCAGAAGAAGTGGGTCCAGGCCCAGGCCTCCAAAAGCAAGGACGATGAGATCATGAGTCACTATATGATCACCAAGGGCAGCGTTGCTCAGAAGGTAATGAGCATCATGGCAGGGCTGCTTCCAGAGATAAAGAATCTGGGCTTGCAGACGCCCGAATCCCCGGCGCTTCGCGACCTCCTAGCCCCCATGTTCCTGCATGCCCCTCCGGCAAGCTGGAAGTTTTACTCCAACTCCGAGTATGGGCTGCCTTGCTTGTACTTCGTCTTGGAAGGCACTCTGGCAATCACAGGGGTCAAAGCACCCGAGGAGATCAGCGACGAGGCAGACTCTATCTACGCAGCCTTGGAGGATATGACCAACAAGGAATGGAAGGCCATGTACAACACAGAGTCAGGCTGGACCACATTCCTGGTGCCTGGAAAGGCTTGCCTGATTCCGTCGGGGCACCTGTTCCAACTCACGTCCATGGAGGACAGAGCTATCGCCGTCAAGTTGATCCTGACCAGCGAGGAAGCTGCAAGAAAGGGAATCGAATTCCTGCGGCCCTGGACACGTGACATGGGCAAGGACCAGAACTCCAGGAAGATGTTGCAGTTTCTCGAGAAGAGCCTGGACATCGTCCCTTTGCCCGGGCAATGATGTGAATCGTTGGTCATAGCTTTGTTGTAGCGTGGCCCTGTTAGCAGCGGTCCACAGCTGCGGCCGACAGCTATGGAGTCAACGCTTCGGCGGAACTTCGGCGACAGGCTACAGCAAGCAGTGCCAGCTTTTCCTTTGCGAGTTCTCAGTTTGCAGCTCTCTCAAATTTGGAGAGCAAAGTGCCTTTTCCTTTCAACGAGCGCACGTGGTTTCGCCCAAGTCCTGGTGTTTTGGCTTCTGGGTTTGCTTCAGGGCCTTTCGAGGTTTCGTGAATAGGCAACGTAGACCAGGCAGTGTGAACCAGGTGCACTCATGCTCCCCGTGAGCTCTCACTGTTTGAACTGGTTGGCTGGGACAACATGCGTGCGTGAGGCTGTGCCACTTGGATTTTTGCGATGCAATGGCTTGCTCCGTCGTCATTGCGTGTTGACATATATGCCATACATATGTCATGTTCAGATCTTGCCGCAGCTCGAAGCCTGCACTTGCAAATTGCCGCCTCTCTCCCATTCCCCGCGGCCCCGCCTTTGCCCTCTAGACGATCATGGCTTTGTGGCTGTGGTTGCCAAAAGGGACCTTTGCATGGATTCACGACTGGAGGACTGTGTTGGATGTTTGTCTCATTTTGGCATCCCATGTGCAATGCGTAGGCTGTCTTTCACCTGGAACATGAGTCTTGAGCGCCAGGTGCTGGGTGAAACTGGCTTCTCCGACTTGGCTGACTTGTCCCGAGAAGCAAGTCCTGGAGTGGGCGAGGCCGCCGAGTTTAGAGGACACTACGGACACCAAAGACTTGCGTGTTAAGTTATGTCCTTGTGTGTGTGTGTGCTCATCAAGCTGTCGAAGCTGTCGAGGCTGTCGAGGCGTCGGCTGCAAGCAAAACTCCTCTCGCTGAAGAAACGGCTGCGTGCCTCAAGACTGAGGCACCGTGAGTTCCGACGCTTGCGCTTGCCGAAGTCACTTGTCATGGAATCCAAATTCAGAAAGTAGTCCCGCGTGAGCTGAGCGACTGCCAAAATTGCCGTGAAGGCATGCCTCAAGGCACGGGCTTCGTGGCCTAATGCGATAGCTAGCGAATGCTAGTAGCATGAAGCATGGATGGATGTTTCCGCTGCAGTGTGAAAAAAAGAAGGTGTCCGCTGCGTGAGAGCAAACAATAGCAGACATATATCTTCCATACTCTGTATTTTGGCCTTATAAGTTTTGGCAGGGGCTAAACATACAGGTCAAACAGATAAATTTTACCCAATATTCCGGATGTGGTAATGTCATATAGTGCGCTGATTGTTTTTGGAACAATAACCATTTTTAAGATTTGAAACGCTGTGCTTTGTGGCTTTTCAACATACAGGAAAAAGCTGAAGGCATTGCGTGGCGTTTGGCAACCATTCTTGGCAATGACTGCCGGGAGTCAAAGCAGTTATCTAGCAAACGGTTGGGTTGGGAAAGCACCATGTGCAGCTTTTTTTCGCGAATTTCAGGAATCCCGTTTTTCGACCTATTTCGCGACAGCGCAACCTCGAACCGTTTCATGGGTTCACCCCCCCCCCCCTCATAACTGGCAACTCCTTACCCTGACTGGGGAATAGGAACCCTTTACGGTTCGGTTTCTATTTCGGTTCGGTTCGACGGTTCCGGTTTTACGATTCGGTTCGCAGGTTCCGGTTCTGACGGTTCCGGTTCCACGGTTCGCGGTTCGGTTCCTTCGCTTCCTGTATTAACACAAAGGCCTCTGTTGCTCTCGTCCAGCGGCAATGCGTCCCATGCCTTGTTGCTCCTGCCACAAGCTCGACAAGTCTGGGCTACCGCTCTGTACCCCGGGGTCGTGGGGAGTAACTTGCCTGCTTCAGTTAAGGCTCGAAGAGATGAAACCGGCGCTTGCCCGCTTGCACATGCCCCACAGCACAGCACTAACCGCCATGCATGTAGGCCTGGGCGCGGTCAGAGCCGGCGAGTGCAACCTACGCATCCGAGGCTTTTCCGCCGGGTCATACACGGGGGCTGTCCTCGCGATAGCCTTGCACGAACGCCAGCGATGCCCGAGCTGCACAGTTGACTTTTTTCCGATCGAAGCACGATTGGGAGGCATTGCTATGCCCCGGGCGATACTGCGGTATATCCTGCAGTCTGAGCTCCGACATGCTGTCAGCTTCGTTCATCACCAGGGGGACCAATTGTGCATCTTCCGACCGAATGTTGAAGCGCGAATGAAAGCTATCCGGGAGGGAACGCGTCTTTACTTCCTCTCTGCGGTTGATGGGCTTGGCACTGGAGGACATTCTTACGGGCACTTCCTTGACTGTGAAGAGTTGTTCCGGCTTACCCCGGGCGACTACAGATATAGTGAATTGACCAAGAGGATTGGCGGGCTTGCTGACCCATATGTGGAGAAAGCTGTCAGATCTTCGTTGATGGGCGTAGCCTGCGCCTCGATCCAATTGAAGGAACGATCCAAGGCGTTTGTCCATTCCATGTTGGGGCGGCAGGTAGTCAGGGCAGACATGGAGCAGTTCCTCCAGGTGCAGCCACCATCCAAGCCAAGTATGATGGAGCTGAGAAAGGCTTGCTCTGATGCCCTTCTTGGGGAATTGAAGCCCCACATGACTGACCTCCCGCAGCCCACCATGAAGCTAGTGCTAGACATGTGGTTGCCGGGCTTGGCGTTGGAGCGGCTCATTGATGCGCTAGGCTACCAATTCCTGGCCATGGCTTCAGAGGCTGAAGTGGAGGAAGAACCCTCTGAGCAGTTTCACTATCCTCAGAAGGCCGCCGTCAAAGAGCAACCAGGCCAGTACAAGTCAAACCTGGCTCCAACACGTGGCCCATAACCCTACTGCGCCGGATTTATCCCAAGGCCATGCTCATTTCGATCACACCAGACCTTGCTGGCGTCCCTGAGAAGCACAGAATGTGGTTCGCGGTCGCAGGCAAAGTGCCGTCCAGAGGAAACGCTGTGCTGGTCACCTTGCAGTCCGAGAGTGGTGAGACGGCATACCCAGGTGTTTTCACGGAACTTACCCCACCCAAAAGGCTTAAAACTAATGTTGGAGAGAACAAGGCGATGCAGCCTGTGCACCTCAAGGTCGCTCTGCTGTTGAATGATGAGCAGCATACAAGCTTGGTGAGCCAACTGACGCTGCCCAGGGTCAGTCAACTTGTTGTACTCCCTAGCGGAGCATCCACCCCTCTGACGCACTTCTGCATATGCCTAAGGAGAGGGTACATGTGGCTCTAGGGCCTAGGGGTGCCCGTGGCCGATTGCCCTGTGGACTCGATCCGTCAGCCACATTGGTTACCTGGCTTCCTTCTCGATCTGGTGCTGGTACTGGTCGTCGGACTTGTGGTTAAGGGATATTGGCACAGGTCATGGGCTCAGCTTATACACCTGACAATACTCCCGGTACTCCAGCTTGGGTGCTGGAGGCCGCCTGGCAGAAGGAAAGCACCATCTTATACCGTGATTTAACATACGAGTGCAGAGGGCAAGCCCCCTTGTTCAGCTCCCAAAAATATTGGGGCACCGTGTCGGAACTGCAGGCTCAGGGACTCACTCTGGAGCCTCTGCCCAATGCAGTATACTGCGTGCCCTATCAGGCGGCGCTGGAAAGTGACGGCGCTGCCAAGTGCCTCACGCACCTCCTGGGCGATGCCAAGCTGTTGGCCCCACCGAAAAGAGGGCCCACGCCGCAGGTTGATGCTCCATTTGAACACAAGGCTGGCATTGAACAGGCCCCGCAAGGCCTGCGTCTAGTTCCAGTAAGAGCGGGCATCGCCCTCCAAGAGAAGGCGATTGACTCCGACTCGCCGGAAACAGCCCTGTACCCGCGGGAGTAGAAGTCCGTTGGCCGCCAACCTGCCACCCCCTCTGGGCGGCAGGAAGGTGGCCAGGTAAATCCTGAAGCTAACTCCGCTCAAGTCAGGGCGGGGAGATGGGGGGCGTCGTGGCACAAGCCTGCCCCAAAAACAGCGCGAGGCTCGGTCGCACGTGTGGTCACTTCGGCCGCCCCCTCACAGGGACGCCCCGGCAAATAGCGACTGACAGCAGCCCCCCTAAAAAGGAGGCTGGCCGCGCTCATTCCAGTGCATGACCCTGCCCCGGCCACCGGCGGAGGACATGACACCCCAGCCGCCCCGAACAGGCAGAGTGACCCGTCCCCTTGCTCGGCGTTTAGAACCCCACTCCGGGTGTTCGCCGCCCTCCAAGCCCCAAGCCACGTCCGAAAGCGGCAAACCAGTCAGTCCCGGGTGAGGCAAGGGACGCATCACAAACGCCATGTGACCCATCGGCACCAACTCCCCAGTCGAGCTTTGGCTCACATGCCGGAACATCTTGTGGCGCGGGCCCAAAGTCCCCCCTACCCCACCTCCGCCTGCGAAAACGGAGACTCGTCCCCTGGTGCTAGACAATGCAAAGCCACAGGAGCCACCGAAAGCGAAGCCTCGTGGTGCCTCACCTGCTCCGCAGGGCCCCGCTCACACCACACCAACTTGGCAAGAGGAGCAGGAAATAGACAGGAATAACCAGTCGGTAAGCGGTCTTATGTGGAAAGCGCTGGCAGCAGGGCATCATTTCGGTAGGACCGTCAAGCCCAGACCCTACATGAGTCTAAAGGACTCGACACATCTAACAACCCATGAACAACAACTTCGTGCCTATTGGGCCTACGAAGATATGTTGCAAGGTCTGCCGAACCACCTAAACGAGCCCGAGTACCTTCTCGAGGTTGCTGATAAACTCCTCCACTTGCCGGAGACCTTCCCAGCATCATACTTACAACTTTATGACCCGCTCGTCCCGCAGTGCCTAAAGCTCTCTGGTTCTCTGCAATTCATTGACCTGGCGGCAATGTTAGGCAGCAATGCGCCACAACTTGACCTGGCCTCCCTCAAGGATTCCATTGTAGGGTATGGTTTCCTCACCACTGCGCAGTACATCGCCGACCTGTTCTTCGCGGTTGCCGACATCCCGGGTGTTCGTAATGCACAGTTCCCCGCAATGC